AGATCTCTGTTCTCTTTTCTCTGAATCCACATCCCCTGTTATTTGCTAGTTCTCAGCAGCCCTGGACAACTTTTTCCATTTTACATCACTGATTCCATCCTTTGCAGTTAGTTCTATTATTTAATACTGTGCAAATTTGAATTCTGGGTTGCTGTGTTACTTTTTAACGTTTCTTAAATACCTGTTTTCCTTTTTATCTCAGCATGTACATATTTATCACTCTTTTTTATGACCTTACTTCCTTTTGTTTTTTCGCGGACATAGCTTTCAGGTAATTCTTTTTTTCTTTTCTGTTACTCTTTTTTGATAGGGTTTATGTTGTCGTTTGTGAGAGCTGTTCAGATTTACAGTTTTGCTACAGGTACAATATATAAATTGTTCTTTGTCTCATTCTAGTTTTCTTGAGTTCTTGGAGAATGTACTGTGTTCTTAGAGCTAAACTGCTGGTTGACAAGTGTAGGGGAATGTCTCCAACCCAGTTTCTGGTGTTCTTGGGGTTTACTTGACTGACGTATGACTTTTCTTGTTCATGTGCCAGATTTTCTTGTTATGAGGAGGAAATGCATATTTTAATGGAATCTGTGACATTTTATAGTTTTTCAGTTAAAAGCAGTACATGAAAAATCACTACGCTGAGCATCATTTTATATCCTCACAGAATAGGAAGATGTAGTTATAGGTGAAGTTAGGCACCACCTCCTAAGCTGTCATTTAACACAGAAGTCACCTCATTTCAAAGTTTTCCCTAGTAAGAGTCTTTCAGCTTAAGAAGTATCGTTACAGAATAATTCTCCTACTTCTCTTTCCTTAGTCAGCAGTTCTGTGGGAATGGGTGTTTTACTTGAAGAAAAGGGAAGAATAGTTTTTGGAGAATGAGGGTTATTTTGAGAAGTGTAGATTTAGGTTGGCAGTGGGCTTTGAACTACCAGATAGATTCAGAAAAGGTGAATGAAAGAGTTCAAGGGTGAACTGGGTACTTAGAGTTGTGCCTGTAATCTTAATGCTGCTGTAAAGAAATTCTCATACAGCTTTGGGTCCCTAGGTGGTCTTATGAATGGCTATTGCCTGAATTAATATTTCAAGATGAGTTGAAAGGCTGCCTACCTCAGCTACTTTGATTCAGACGAGTCACATGGCTTTAAATATAGTTCATTTTCTCCTTTAATGATAAGCAATGTACAGTTATATGAGAAAGAAAATTCACATGTCAGAAGATGGGAGTGAATTTTTATTGTCTTCATTTGGTTTAATATTCATAGCCATGACTTTCCAGAGATAATTGTACTTGAACAACAGTAAAAAAAGTGTTCATAGCCATGAGAAGACAGAAAAGAGGAAGGAATGGGGGCTACGTGACCCCCACAGTAGGAAACTAGATTAGATTGTTACTCTAAATGGTCTTTTTCTCTTTATCCTGAGCTGCTTCTTTACCTCTATTCTTGTTCATTTATTTTGTTTTTGCTGTGGAAAATGGGATCTTTTTTAATGCTTTTTTCTATTTATTGTTGGTAACTAGAAAAGATATCATTTTTGGTATTTATTTTGTTACTGGTCTCTTTACTGAACTCTACTTTTTATTTCTAACAGTTTCTTCGTAGATCTTCTTAGATTTATTAGGTATGTAGTAATGACATTTGCTCAAACAAACAAGAGAGAATTGTGCGTCAGTGTTTTGGATAATGACATGTCTTATTCTTTTTTCACGCCATATTGCACTAATAAGAACTTCCAAAACAAACCTAAATAGCAGTGGTCTTACCAGGCATCGAAAGGTGCAAGACAAGCGAAGACCTGGCTAAGGTGAAAGAACGAGCCACAAAGAGTCTGGGGGGGAGGTGTCCAGGCAGAGGACAGCCAGGGCAGAGACCTTAGTGGGGCGTGTGCTCCGGGAGTGACAAGGAGGATGGCGTGGCTGGGGGCAGGTGATTGAGGACACTGGTTGAAGATGAGATTAGACAGGGAATAAGGAGTAGGGTGTACCACTTGCTAATAACATTGAACTTTCTGTACTACGTTAGTGTTACTGTGTCATGGTGAGTTATTCCTTCGGCACTCACTGCATCTGCTGTGAAGAAATGCATTTATAAAAAGTATAATTTTTTGAAAAACCTTAATATCTGCTATTGATACAATATTCATTGGTGTGCTCTAGTGTTTAAAATGTCTTTTATCATAGCCGTAACAAACACATTCTTTCCCAATTGCTATGATCTTACACATGTGAAATCTTTTGCATAACTCTCTTTATGTCTTCTTGTGTCAAGTTGCCCGCTATACTATTGGGCGGAGTTTTAACCAGCAGAATGTCAGTTTCTGAAGACTGAGGTTATTTTCAACAACAGCAGCCACAACAAAGTTCAGCTTTGTGCTTTGCTTACTTGGACCCAAGCATTGATTTAAAATCCTCAGTCATTTTCAGTTTTCAAGTTCTTCTTGTGGAAAAATACCTAAAGGCACCCAGGCAGTAAGGGGAGCGAGGCGGGTCCCAAATCCTGGCTGTGCTGAAACTGATTCGGTCGACCAGATAAGTCGGCTCAGTGGGAAGACTGTGAGTTCTGCTGACAATCAGATATCCCAAGAGGAGTACAACAGGGAAAGGGGGAAAAAAACTTTGTTGCTGAGAGAAGCAGAATTAACCAGAGTGTTGGCATTGCTATAAATGAATGATTTCTGTAACAGCAGTATTTTCTGACAAAGCTTGGCTATTTGTCTCTATAATGTAACTTTAAGGCTGCACGCAAATATTTTTCTTCAATTCATACTCAGAAAAGAGAGAGAGAAACTTATATCAGTGTGAATAGGAACCTTCCATCCTTTTATTTTTATTGTCTGTGGCCCCTTGAGATCCTTGTGTAACTCCCCTGAAAGTTATATCCCTGGAAATAGTCAGTAATTTCAAAAATATTTAAGTTGTGATTTTACATCTTTTTTGCTGTCTTCCCAATTCTGATTCCTACCCATCATTTTTGCAACAAGAGAGGTAATAGAGTTTTCTAACCATAATTTATTCTGTGAAATGACCTCTTCTTGTGATCCTATCAATATGTTCATGAATATTTACCTACATTTTACATATCAGTAAGTCTGGTTTTCAAACACAAGAATGTGAAAAATAAGAAATCAGTTGTGATAACAAAAGTAGCAATGAGAAATGCATTCTGCAAATAGTCATGAAAAGCTATTTTAGTTCTCTTTTAAACATTTTATTTATTTATTTATTTATTTAGAGAGAGAAAGGCACGGAGACAAGAGGAAAAATAAACAACTGGGATTGAGTGAAGCTAAAAAAGGTTTTGCATAGCAAAGAAAACCATCAACAAAATAAAAACACAACCCACAGAATGGGAGAACATATTCACTGATACATCTGATAAGGAGTTCATATCCAAAATCTATAAATAATTTATAAAACTCAACACCAAAAAAATGAACAATCCTATTAAAAAATGGGCAAAGGACTTCAATACACACTTCTCTAAAGAGGATATACAGATGGTCAGTGGGCATGTGAAAAGATGCTCAGTGTCACTAAACATCAGAGAAATGCAAATTAAAACCACAATGAGATACCGCTTCACACCTGTCAGAATGGCCATCATCAATAAATCAACAAACAACAAGTGCTGGCCAGGATGTGGAGAAAAGGGAACCCTTTTGCACTGTTGGTGGGAAGGCAGACTGGTGTAGCCACTGTGGAAAGCATTATGGAGATGCCTCAAAAAATTAAAAATGGATCTGCCTTATGACCCAGCAATTCCACACCTGTTCATTTAGCTGAAGAAACTGAAAACATGAAAAGTGAAAAGTGTTTTCTGATTTTGTTTTGGTCTTGTAAATTTTACCTCTCTAATCTCCCTCTGCTGATGTCTTTCTTAAGGTGGATTGAGAACAGCACCACGCACCGAAGGTGTGGGCAGGCGTGCGATGGCAGTATAGAAATGCGGGTCGTGTTTTCTGTTTCATTTAGGCTACTTTTTTAAATGCCAGTATTTGTAGGACTTTTGAGCCATATCATTTCAAAATGTCCTTTAGGCCAAACCCATTGCCTCTGGACTAGACTCTTTCTAAGCTCTTTACTATTCAATATCTTCCAGGATAGAGATTTCACAGCCCATCTATCACCTTGAAGTTCTTATAGCTAACATAAATCTTGCTTTCTGCAGCTTAAGTTGAATTTCTTTCTCTTTTGTTTTCTCTGTAGAGATAGGAACAGCCCCACACCAGGAGCGATGCTTTCTTAAGAGGACCCGTACTGAACACAGCAGAGAGGGTGTTTGCAGTCCAGCATCACTGTCTGCTTTTACACATTGCAGAGCATATGTCAGCATTCTCTGGCTTTCATTTCAACTCATGGTCTCAAGAGATGCTACTTTTTATTGGCCCAAACGAAATAACAGTTACACGTCTCGTATTAATGTTTACTGTATCTTTTGCTAGTTAGAACCAGATGAGGTGCTAAAATAAAACAATACGTTCTCAAAACCCACTTGAGGATTTTAGCAGATTCGTGTTTTATTTAATATAACTGTAGTCATGGGATTTGGTTGTACTATGGTTAGTCAATTTTTATCTCATTATTTTATTAGTCATAATGTATACATGATTTATTCAGCCATATCTTCCTTATAAGTGATGAGAACAAAAACTTGTTCTTTAAAACAAGCTATCCTTAAGCAGAAAACTTGTGTGTAGTGAAAAACTTGTAGTACCTAAGCAAAGAGATGTGCTAGATACTGGAAAGGAAAAAGAAAACAAATTCTCTGTCCTTGAAGAGCTTATAGTCTTCCTTGGGGAAGAGATTGCAAAAATTGTAATTTTAAAGCACTTATAAAATATAACATAGAACATATAAAGTAAGGTGTTTAGTGTGAATTATATTTTGCATTTTGAAGAAAATACAGAACATGTTTTATGCTGTACAGATCTGTGGACTGAAGTGCTGTGAAATGTCTAATTGATTCATTCTGATTTCTGTTTTGTTTTCTTTTTTTCATCTTAAGGTTCAGCAGTTTTCCGAAAAGTCCTTCCTCCTACAGCTTTCGAAAACTCATGAAAATGCTTTAGAGAGACAGTGCAGTGAAATTACAAACCAAAGGAATATGCTTCTCCAAACCTTTGTACGTCTCCAGCCTTTTAGAAAAATCTGTTTCACTAACTGAATCTAACGTATTTGAATACACTTAGGTGTACATTTGGCAAATGATCCGTGTGCACATTGGCAGATAGTTCTGTTCGCATACAGAAAAGTATTAAGTGCTATTTAAAAACTGTGGTAGAGTAATATAGTTTGAGAGAATTTTATTGGCAGGGATGCAGTATGAAAATTAATTGTGATAAGCATAAAAGAAACAGTGAAACTGATTTGAATTGCTCAGGTGTCTAGATGTTGGTTTTAATGCTTTGGAAAAGCAAAGAGGTTTACACTGTAGGCATACGTATGGTGTGGGTAAAAAGACAGGTTTTCTTTATCTTTTTATTATAAAGTCAGAGCCGGTAGACACAGTAGTTTTAAGTGATAGGGCCAGGTTAGGAACACGACTTGTAATTAATTGACATTTCAAAGAAAATACATTTAAAAATGTTTACAGAAATATATATCTAAAGCCAACGGAATCAACCACCGGTGGTTTATGAATGACATGGCCAGTTTTCCGACGTAGCTCGTAATTAGGTGACATGTCCTAGAAAATAGAAAAGTGTAGTGATGTCTAGTCCGTGGCATTGTCAGAGCGCAGGCCCCAGCGTTGTCCAAAGTTGTTGGAAATTCTTATTTCTACCACATGTTGATATTTCATAAAAACATAAAATATTATTTAAAAGTGAATTCAAGATTAACATATAATTTTACATTCATTGTTTACGTTTAAAGTTTTCTGTTATTTCCTTGTGTCTCTCCTTTTGTTAAAAGACTTAAGAGGGGAAGGGAGGGAGAAAGAGGTGAAGCGAAAGATCAAGGTGCGAGAGAAACGTTGCTCAGTTGCCTCCTGCATGCTCACCTCCTGGGGACCGAACCGCAGCCCAGGCATGTGCCCTGGCTGGTGATTCACTTTGTGGGATGACGCCCAACTAACTGAGCCACAGTGATCCGAGCGCTCCCTCCCTCTCTCTCTCTGATTAAGGCAGTAATTCTTTTGCATGTAGATTGCTACTTTCAGGTTTGGTCATTTAATTATTTTACCACCAAATTTATATTGCATTGACAAAATAGCATATATGGTTATAAGTTTAATACAGAAGCAAACACATCTATAGTGATGAGTGGTAGAATTTCTACATTAATAATTCTCCCAAAACATTAAGAATAAAACTGTCATGTGAAAATGGTTGTTAGTAGATAATAGCTTTAGTTTTTTTATGAATATTTGTGGAGCAGTAAAGCATTTTTGTGACAATACCAGGGAATATGATACTATATTTTGTTGTTAATAATTTGAAATCAGTATATTTTAAATGATGAAAGAAAAATATTATTACAATTAATACCTGTATTTGATCTTCTGGTGTTTGTTTTTTTTCAGGAGGCTACTAAGGAAAAAGTGATGGAGGAGGAGGAAAAATTTATTAAGGAAATTACAGACTTCAATAATGAGTATGAAATAACAAAGAAAAGAGAGCTTTTGATGAAAGAAAAAGTCAAGGTTGAAATATCTGACCTAGAAAACCAGGCAAACATTTTGAAAAGAGGTATGAATACATAATATCGCCTCATTTATCCAGTGGTAATGAAACTGAGTTGGCGTCGGATATTTGTAGTTCAAGATGTTCTCGACACAGTCGGTGGAGGTGCCCAGGCAGCAGGCGGACCTGTGGTCGTCAGGCGGATAAGAGAGAGCAGAGGTCCAGCTGGGTTTGGGACTGAATCCAGGGAGGACGTCATCCAGAACAAACATGCAGAGGGAACATGGAGGGGTAGCAAAGACCAAAGGTAGAAACTAGGAAAACAGTGTGTACAGAAAGGAAGAAAAGAGAGTCGTTAAAGAGGGTAAGAGGGGAAACAGCAGGGAGGAACATTTTAAACACTAAAAGCAAAAAAATAAGAAGTTGTCCATAAACGGTGTGAATCAAATTAGGAAATTAATTTGACAGGAGCTGTCACGAGCATTATCACAGAGAGGGGAGTTGAGGAAATAGAGAATGAAACCATAAATGATATTAAATGGATGATGTCTTTTTCACGGAAGCCTTTCTAAAATGTACTGTTACTTTGATACCTTTAGTAAGCGAAGAATAGTAAACACATTTAACCCTTCTGTTGCCTTAAAGCTATTGTTATGAATATTTCATTGTTGTGCTTTCCATAAAACAGTTTTCATTGTTACAGGTAACATTTATAGGTGTGTGCCTTATAAAACCACCATCCTGAAAAGTGTAAATGCCACAGTCAAGTTGAATGAATTTAAATCTTAATTGCACCACTTAATTGCTTTGTGATTTGGGGCAAGATGCTTAACTTTTTTTCTGTCTCAGTTTCTTCATCTGTAAAGATAAGGGATTACAATAATGACCTTAACAAGGTTGTGTTGAGGATTCAGTGAAAGAATATTTAAGCGAATGGAATGCTGCCTCATGCATAATTAAGAGTGCAGAAATATGAGGATTATACTTTCAAGTTCGTCTTACGTTATAGATGGAAGAAGTCAGGTCCTCACTGATAAATTACTGTGGGTAGAGAGTTTAGGACAGAGGTTCTTAACCACAGGTGCACATCTGGAAAGTTTAAAAAAGTATTAAATACTTGACTCTCATCCCAGAACTATTGAATCAGAATCTTGGTGGGTGAGGATGGGGAACATAATCTTTTCAAAAGCCACTTAGGTGATACTGATGTGTACTGCTCTTTAATAACCAACCGTGTAAAACAAAGATAAATAGGTGTTATTAACCTTAGGAAATACTCCGAAACTGATTTTTTTAAAAGTCATTGGCTGTTACCACTTCTGTTCAACATAGTATTGGAAGTTCCAGCCAAATCAGTTAGATAAGAAAAAGAAATAAAAGGCATCCAAGTGGGAAGAGAAGAAGTGAAATTATCTCTGTTCCCAAATGACATGATGTTCTTTGTAGAACACCTGAAGATTCCGCACCAAAAAAAAAATGCTAGGGATGATAAACAGATATAGCTGACTCTTGAACAACATGGGTTTGAATTGTGCGGGTCTGCTTGGCTGTGAGTTTTAAAAATAAATTTACAGTCAGCCTTCCATATTCCTGGGTTTCACATCTGTGGATTCAGCCATGCAGGGATTGAGAACTGCTTTTTATCTGTGGTTGAAAAGTCACACATTCATGGAGCTGACTTAAGTTATATGTGGATTTTAGACTTTGTGGGGATTGGAGCCCTAACCCACACTGTCTTCTAAGGTCAACTATATACAGCAAATTTTCAGCATACAAAATCAACGCACAAAAATCAGTTGCATTTCTGTGTACTAGCAGTGAGCAATTCAAGAGGGAAATTTTAAAATTGCATTTATAACAGCAGCAAAAGCAATAAAATAATTAGGAATAAATTTAAGGAGGTAAAAGATTTATACATTGAAAACGCTAAAATATTGCTCAAGGAAATTAGAAACTTAAATAAATGGAAGGACATTCCATGTTTACGGATTAGAAAACTTAGTATTTTTACAATGACATTACTACTCAAAGTAACCTGCAGATTCAATGCAGTTCCCTTCAAAATCTTTGCCAGTCTGACAAAGATGTTATTTTCATTGTTTGTTTAATTAGCATTTCTTGATTTTGTACTATGTTGGATATATTTCTCTAAATTTATTGATCACTTTTATTTATTTTTCTATGAACAACCTGTACATATTCTTTGCTCATTTTTTACTAACTTGTGTTTTTACTGGTATGGACATTGTGTCTACTGAGGAAGTTAGCCTTGTGTCATGTGTTGTAAACTGTTTCCTAGTCTGTTGTTTACATTTCAGTTGTACTTACAGTGTGTGAGTGTGCGTGCGTGTGTATGTGTGTGAGAGAGAGAGAGAATGCCAGATAGAAATTTTAACTTTTTGCAGTTATGTTAATGAAATGAATCTTTTCCTTTATGGCTTCTGGCTTAGGAAGACTTTTCTATGTAACATTTCAGTAATAACAGTCGTGCTTATTCTAGTAACTCTCTGTTTCCTTTTCTCCATTTATATTCCAACTGGAATTTATTTTGATATAAGAGCTTAGGAATCCAACATTTTTTCAGTTATTTAACACTACTTATTATGAGACTTCCTCCAAGATGGAGGCGTAGGTAGAAACACTGCCTTCTTGCACAACCAAATCTAAAAACAACAAAGTTTAACAACAATAAACTCAGCCAAACCACAGAAAATTGAACAATAAAAGAGTCCGACAACAACGAAACACTCAGCCAGACTGGTAAGAGGGGCGGATCCAGCAGCGGAACGGGTCGGTCAAAAAACATCCCCTGACCCAGGCAGCCAAGGGCGAATCCCAGGTGTGGGGTAGCAACAGATGGATCCAGTGAAGGCGCAAAGTGGCTGGCTGACCGTGGTCACACATTTGCACGCAGATAGATAAACCAGCGAAGGAGCGAGCAGTAAGACAGACCTCGAAGGCCCCAGTGGCGGGAAGGAGCAGAGGGGACCGCTGTTGCTCCCTCTCTGACCCTGCCTCTACATACAGCATCACAAACCAGTGACCTGGGTGGCCCTGCCCTGGTGAACATCTAAGGCTCCTCCCCTCATTTGTAACAGGCCCAAACAGACCAAAACATGGCTCAAGAAGAACTCAAAGCCCGAGAGCCCATAAATCTAAGCGAATAAGAAATTGCCAGCCTATCAGAGGCACAGTTCAAGACACTGGTGATCAGGATGCTCACAGAACTGGTTGATTTTAGCCACAGATTAGAGGAACATATGAAGGCTAAACTAATTGAAGTGAACGGAAATGCACAGGAAACCAATGGTAATGGGAAGGAAACTGGGACTCAAATCAAAGGAGTGGACCAGAAGGAGGAAAAAAATGACCAAACAGAAAAGGATAAAGAAACAATTCAAAAAAATGAGGAGAGGCTAAGGAACCTCCAGGACATCTTTAATCGCTCCAACATCTGAATTATAGGGGTACCAGAAGAGGAACAGGAACAGCCACCAGTGGAAAACTTATTTGAACAAATAATAATGGAGAACTTCCCCAGTCTGGCAAAGGAAATAGACTTCCAGGAAATCCAGGAAGCTCAGAGAGTCCCAAAGAAGTTGGATCCAAGAAGGAACACACCAAGGCACATCATAATTATATTAGCCAAGATTAAAATGAAGGAGAGAATCCTAGAAACAGCAAGAGATAAGGGGACAGTCACCTACGAAGGAGTTCCCATCAGCCTGTCAGTGGATTTCTCAAAAGAGACCTTATAGGCAAGAAGGGGCTGGAAAGAAGTATTCCAAGTCATGAAATCCGAAGACCTACAGCCAAGATTGCTCTATCCACCAAAGCTTTCATTTAGAATGGAGGGGCAGATAAAGTGCTTCTCAGATAAGATCAAGTTCAAGGAGTTCATCATCACCAAGCCATTATTATATGAAGTGTTAAAGGGACTTACCTAAGAAAAAGAAGATAAAAAACATGAACAGTGAAAGGACAACAAACTCACAGTTATTAACAACCACACCTAAAGCAAAAGCAAACTAAAAGGACAGCTAGATCAGGAGCAGAACCATAGAAATAAAGATCATATGGAGGGTTAGCAACAGGGGAGTGGGAGGAGGAGAAGAGGGGGAGAAGGTACAGAAAATAAGTAGCATAGACCGTAGATAGAAAATAGATAGGGGGAGGGTAAGAATAGTAGGGGAAATATAGAATCTAAAGAACTTGAGACACGTGGTCATAAACTAAAGGGGGGGATGAGGGAGGAGGGGTGTGCAGGATGGAGGGGAATGAAGGGGGGAAAAATAGAACAACTAATGGCATAATCAATAAAAATAAAAAACACTATGTAATTATTATGTAATTCACTATTTTCCAACCAATGTGTAGTTCTGGATTTGTCATATGCTAACTTCATATTTCTGTGTTTTCTCAATTAACAGTGAATTTTATTAATACATATCCTATTATTAACCTTACTCAGTTGTGGTCTCTTAGTCTTCTAATGTACTGCTGAATTCTGTTTAATAATACTCAGTATTTTCTTTAAAAGTTTTGCACCAGTATTTATAAATGAGATTAATCTTTTTGTGAGGGTTATGTTGAGTTAACCAAAAGAACGTAGAAGCTTTCTTTCTTCTCTAGCTGGAAAAGTGTAAACACTAAAATCACCTGTTCCTTCAAGGTCTGAAATAATTCACTGGTACAGCTGCTTCCGTGCCTTTTACTCTGTGATGTTGTTCACATCTGAAGCGAATATTGGAGCCAGTCTCTTCCCGGAGCAGTTCAGTGTCCATTTGTCTTCCCTCCTGGCAGGGGCTGCTCTCAGTCCCCTCTTCTAACTCACGCCACCACATCTGCTGAGTCCTGACACTCGAGTTTTCTCCTGTCCTTCCCTTCTTTCCTTGGCTTCCCCCTGATCTTTTCTGTTGAGCCTTCGCCATAGCTATGATGAGTCACCCAGTTTCACTGTGTTTTGATCATCTTCATCTTCAAAGCCCATGGCTGTTGTATTATTTTCTACTGTTCACAGTGTTGTTGTCATTGCCAGGCCTCTTCTTTGATTTATTTTTTAACTCCAGAGTTGGAGTCTGTCCTCACTCCTTGAGAGTACCAAATGTTAACTAACATTCATATACTGGTAAAAGAAATTATTTTATTACTGCTGGGCTATTATAACGAACCTCTTACTGTACCGATGTTCTGTTTTAAAATACCATGATGGACATAGCGGACCAAGCATCTGGGCCTGTCTTGCCAGCCCCGCCCAGCCCAGCACCTCCTCCCCTCCAGCCTCACCCATTGGCCTCGCCGTTTGTGCTGAGACTCACCGACCTCTGCTGTTTGTGGGGACGTGTTATGTTTCCTCCTGCCTCGGGGCCTCTGGAATGCTTTATTAGAATACTTTTAAAAAAATTCTTCAGCCATTTAATTCAGTCACTCCTCTGATCTCAGCTCATGTGACTTCCGGAGGAAATTTCCCCTGATTCATGACCTGCACATCGGGTCCATTCCCTGACTGCAGCCTCCTGTGGGTCCCTGCACCGCTCTCCTCCGGGCGTTGTATTTCCTTCCATACTCGGCTCCTGTCTGTCACCCCTACGAAGGGGTCAGCGTCCACAGAGATGGGAGTTATGTCTGTTTTACTCACCAGTGTATTTCTAAAATGTGCCTAGGACATTCATTCATTCAGTAATGGTATTTTTGTGCTTTACACATTGGTGATACTGCAGTGTGCAAAAAAGAAAAAAAAAAATCCCTCGTGAAGTCTACATTCCTGTAAAGGAAGAGAGACATTCATGTTCCAACCTGTCAGAATAGAAAAATCTCACTGAACAGAAGAGTCCTGCCTTAATGGGAGGATTAAATTAGCCTTGGATTTAAGGCTACTCTGGACCCATTGTTAAAAATATTTTTAAAACAAGATTTGAACCTGATCCATAAGTTATTTAACTGCCTGCCAAATAACAGATAATTAATATACTTCAGGGGAAGATAGCAAAATTCAAACATTTAACAAAATAGTAAACACAGTGTCTTACACCCAATCAAAAATCACTAGACATTTGAAGAAGCAGCAGACTGTAACTCAATACCAAGGAGGAAATTAGGTCCATGGAAACATACATGTGAATGACCGTGATGAGGCAGTTAGCAAAGAAAGACTTTGAAACTGCTCTTATAAATATTATAAATAACTCAAAAGCATGGATATTATCAAGAGGTAAGTGAAAGATACAAAAAATAATTGAAGACAAAAATATTTGATAAGATTCAACACCCTTTGTAATCAAAATGTAAATACAAAATATAAAAGAGCTGCTGGTGAGAACAAAAGGAAGAAGGCACTCTGGGTGGAAGGAACAATATTAGCAGTGTTGTGAGAGCTCATAGCCATGTAGCTAATACTATGCAGAGTCAAATTTAAACACGCTTTATTTATGAAGGATAGAATTTCCTTTTTGACTCGTTGGTAGGTTTGTTTTACTTTGTGATATGACATTATTTTGAATTCTTTGTTGGTAGTTGAAGCATCAACTAACGTTTATTTGTATCCAGTTGGTGCTTCAACAAATCCTGGTCAGTTTGTTAAAAACAGTTCCTGAGTGGCCAAGGGAGGGCAGTCCAGGCTTAAAACTGACCATATGCTGCTTGAATTTTTACTACAAAAGAAAAAGCGAAGGAGTGCTGACATTTATGGCAAAGCCTAAATAGTTAAAATAATGGTTTTTGCTTGTTTCTAGAAATGAAGTCCATGGAACATGACAGTGGCCCATTAAATGAACTTCAAAAACAGAAGAGTGAATTGATGCAAGAACTGTTGACTCTGCAGAGAAAACTTAAAGGTATCACCTTGATGTGCTTTGCTTATTTTGCTGATGAATATATTTATATTCACGCGATAGGGTAGTATTTCTCTCTTTAAATGTGTTAGTCTATTGGGATATAGTGTTATTACTGGTATTAAAAAAGGAATAGATAAAACACTGAATTGATCGGTGTTGGACTTGATATTTTTAATGTGTCAAATTTTAAGAACTTTTTTTGTGCCTTCAATTGCTATATTAAAGTAGGAAATAAAAATCTCTAGCACATACCTTTTACGTGAAGCAGAAAAAATTAGGGGATTGTTCTTATGAATGAATAAGTATAAACTTTATGTTTAATTTTTAAATGATCATATAAATTTTCTTAATTGTTTAGTTTTTGAAGATAAAAAGAATGAAGCCATCTGTACTACCAAATACCTAGAGGCAGAAAAGATAAAAATCAATGAAAAGCCTCAAAGTGATGCTGAATGCTTAAGGTAAGAATTGCCTATTACACTTTAGTAGAAAATTGGTAATTTTTCAAGTTGTCAAATAGATTTCAGCATAAAGCTAAACGCACAGATTTTTTTTTTAAGTTTCAGATGAAGATGTTATTTTTTTCTGTGTGTATTCCAAAACATGCTAATAAATAAACACTTCACTGACCAAAAAGAGCTACGGGTAAGTTTCATGATGCATTGGCTTAATAATACTGAGATCAATTTTGTCTTTTCTTATACCTTGTGGACTCAGTGTTATTCACATTGTAATAGATTAAGAAAAAGTATTGGTCCCACAACTCTCCTTTCCTTTATCCCTGACTTCTTTCTGAAATAATCGGAATTATTTTTTATCTTTTTTCATTTTGTGGGGGGATCACAATCTACTATTTTGCTTGAAATTTGTTACTCTGGCTTCGTGCTGAAAGATTGAAAGTGTATTTTCTGTTCAGATTATTCAGATGCTTTTTATGTATTTGGATCGTGAAAGAATGGCTGATGTCAAAAGTGAAATGCTCATAAACACAAGGAGGGAAAAAACCCTGTTTATTAATTTGACTATTCTTTATTAATAATTCAGTGTTGTCTTTGCTGGCTTAATTTTAAAGAAGTTTCTATACTTTCTAGGCTTAACCAGGCTTAGTATAACCAAAGAAACCTCATTACTGAATCTATGAAGAAGCAAATGAAGCCTCCATCCACATAAATCACATAGGAAATATGTCCACTAGAGCTGAACAAATGCTTCATATTAGCAGTGTTTAGCCTCAGGCCATAATTTTAGTAGATTATGAGAAAATATTTGCAATTTAATTTTATGTTCAGTTTTGTAAGCATGAAATATCAATCTCTTGGGTGGTGTGTGTGATGCAGAATGAGTTTCGGTAATGACAATGTGCTCATTGATTATTTTTACACTTTAAAAAATGGCAGTGCCCATTGGTATCGTTATAGCTAGTAGTGTAAGGGCTTCTAATATCAACTCCAGTTTCATGGGTTTATCACTCAGTCATAAAAATATACCCTGGGTTAGAATTAAACACACCAAGTCTGCTAGAGGGGACCTTCTCCCTCACTGATGGGACCCAGGAGATTTGGATGGAAACATCAGTCCTTGTACTTGATCTGTTCTTTGGATTTGAGCAGCTGTTAAATGAAATGCCAAAATTTATTAATTCCTCCATTAAATTCTTTGATATGCCTAGCTAGTTTCCTCACTGGTATGACCTATAAAAGTTTTTTCGAGTGTGAAGAGCAGAGTCAAAGTACTGAGTGTAAAAAATTTTAGTAAAGAAGGCCATCAGTTTTATAATTAGTACAAGAGCAAAAAACTAATGATGGCAAAAAATGATGTGACATGTATTCAACTTTATCATGAAGGCCAAAGTTAAACAGGTTTTATTCCTAAATTTTGGAATAGAACTGTCTTTCACCTGCGTGTTGAAATGTATACTGAATTTTGTAATAGTTGCCTTTTTTCTTAGTTTTTCAGGTTTAGCTGCTTTTGGTATGGATGCTATTTTTATAGGAGGGTTTCTCAGAAACTTGTTAGTGTGGACATTTGGGACCAGGTATCCTTTGTGGTAGGGAGCTGTTCTAGACGATGTAAGATGTTTAGTAGGGTCCCTGAACTCTGTCCAGTAGAGGCCAATATCAGCGCCTCCCCTCTCTGAGCTGTGACAGCCAAAAAATGTCTGGACCTCGCCAAATGTCCACTGTGCAGAGGGTACAGGAAACACATCTCCAGTTGACAACCAGCTTTATTTTAAGGTTATTATAAGTTAAAATTTTATTAAACTTTAGTAAGAAAGCAATTATTAAAAAATTATATTAGTTCATTTCTATGAGTTTATTGTTTCTACTTTTAGTACTTAGAAAATTTTGATACATGTTTTGTGTCTATATTACTGAATTCTTTTACTATGCATAAAAGAATTACTATGCGTTTTTTAAGTTAATTTGCCATGCTTAGGTTATTTGTTGAGCTGTCTCTTGACGCCATCCATTAAGGTAGAAAACAGTAGGACACTCACAATGGTTTAATGGTCTGTGCTTTAAGTAATCTTTCCCTGTTTATAAATACCAAGATGTCTGTTTATTTAAAAGATTCTCTATTGAAGTGTGTGGGCTCATTAATTAACACATGTTAAGGCAGCTAATTACTGTGCTTGACACTTAAGCCAGAGGTTGGATTCATTCCTAAAATGCCTCCCAAGGCTTGTAAAACTGTGACTGAGCTAGTGTTTTCATACCTCAGGGGAGGACCAAGGTGATGAAGTGCGGGGTCTTGGGAGGAAGGAAGCAAGGAGGTTAAGATTACAAACCCTTTTGAATCCCAGCTCTGCCATTGACTGGGTTAGTGACCTTGGAGAAGCAATTGTCTGTGACTCAGTCTCCACATCTATAAAATGAAGTTAATAATAGCGCCTACCTCACAAAGTTATAGTAAAAAAATAAATAAGTGACTTAATTTATACAAATCCCTTAGTGCTTTGCACACAGTAAATACTCTGTAATTATTGGATATAATTAAAGCATTACTTGTGATTTCATTTTTATTCCATACTATCTATGAGGATTTCACACCTTTCATGCTTCTTTCTCATTTTTTTTCTTCTGCTTGTCTCTGAGCCCAGAGGCTCCCTGCGGGTTGATTGGGGATCGCCATCTTTGTACTCTCCGTGGGCAGTCTCTTCTGGTTTAAGGATTTTAGTTGCCATTTACAAATTTTTGTCCCTAATCCTCTCTCCTAAACTTCAGTCCTAAATTCTCAAGAGTCTAATACAAAAGGAGAAATGCATCTGAAGGGCTGCCGCCTTGATGAAATAAACAAAACCAGGCTGTCAGAAGTTCAAGGGCCTCCGTAATCTGCCTATCCCTTACCCCCTCGTGTTTTTATCACGCACCTTCCTTCCAGTACTGGCGCATCCGGATACGCTTGTGGCGTTCCAAGTAAGCCTTCACACCTCCGTATCCATCTCTTTCTTCTCCATCCGCTAACATCCAACTGCGTCTTCCAGGCCCAGGTCCGGTGTCATCTTTGCTGGCGATTGCTCAGATCCAAAATGTAGCAGCATTTTGACATGTTTACACATCACATTGTCTCACCCTACCCAAAACTTGGTAAAAGCACCAAAATACTTCTTGAATTGTTGTTCTTCTCTGTCTCCATTGCTAACATTCTATTTCTGGCCTCCACCCTCTCCCACCGCATCCCAGTAACTATCTCTCTTCTCCTTTCCCCCCACCCACTCTTGTACCCTCCAATCCACTGTCAATTGAATCGTCATCCCCTTATTAAAACCATTCAGTGGCTTCATAACGGATACCATAAAACCTGAGGTCCTTCGTGAGGCCTGTGTGACTTGTCACAGTACGGCCTCTGAACGCATCCCTGATGTTATCTTCAACAAGGTCCCCTTCCCACTCTGTTCCCTCCAGCCCTCCAAGCTTTCTTCCACACTGGAACCTTCGTCCATGCCTGTACGTCTCCTGTTCAGCACCACTCTGCCTGCCTGTGTCTAACTGGTGGGATGTACCCCATCCTGTGGGTCTCAGTTGAAGTGTTTCCTAAGAGAAGCCCTCCCTTACAGTGAATCGTGGAGCCTGTTATTTTTCTAATAGCACACTGTTTTTCCTTATAGCACACATTCTATTTTGTAGTTACATATCATTGGCTTTATTTTGTTCATGTCTGTCTCTTCCATGTAGGAGGAGTTATGTTGTCTATTGTGTTTCCCATTGTATGCTGATGGTCTGATACTTTGGTGTAGAGCTTGTCGTATAGTAGGAATTGAATAAATAAATGGAGGGATAAATGAATGTGCTAAATTACGAAACATTTCCTCTACAGTTCCTTTCTCAGTGTTCATAGAGAATGGGCTTCTAATTCTGCTACATCATTAGTCATACTCAGTGATAATATGTACATCAATCTGTCCTGCTAGACTGGGAACGCCCTCCATTTGTTCATTTTTCATCAGTCTGTGCATCTAGCACAGTCAAGGGCAAATAATGTTCAAAATGTTTATTCCAGGAATTGGGTCTACATATAATTTTATTTTTACTACAAAGAAGATGACAGTTCATCATGTATTTTCAATGTTATTTGCAAAAACATAGTGTATTCTAACCACTAGGATAGCCTCATGGAACCCTTTCTACTCCTAATTTTTTTCCCTGTGGAAAACGCTCTCCTGGTTTAACTGTCCTCGCCTCCGTAGCCGTTAACGTCTCTCCCTTTCTCGATCTAACTCAGTCTGATCGCTGAGTTTGGAAAGTACTCAGGAGGGCCGTCTGTTCTGCTCTAGGCTGTGCTCCTTTATGTTCTACGATGGCAGGTCTCCGTGGGAGAAAGCTTGTGACGTCCAGTTCTGCCTTTAATGGTGTGCTCTGTTAGTCTGATCCTGGGGCTCAATATTAGTACGTCCTTTCTTTGCAGATAGAAGCCACCTTCTCTGCTCTCTGGTGTATTCATAGTACATGGGACATTCTGGCCTCCCTTCTGCCTTATTTCTCTTTTGGGCAGAATTCAGGCAGGAAAGAAAAATGGTATATATGAGACTGCCAATACCTATTATTTATATTACTATCTAACAGTAGTCACTAATTGACTGGTTTTATCCCACAAAATAGTTTTGTGCCCACAAAACTTTTTTCTAGAATAGTTGCACATGTTTTTATAGCCAATAGTTGCGATTGTTGAACGCAACAGGAAGGTTGTGACAGATGAAACCGCAAAGTCAGCAGCACGAGAGTGACCCTCCGGAACGTGTGAAGAGAGGAGGGTTTTGTGAAGAGTATATTTGCAAGGAAAGTGGCACGGGCGTTCATATGCACCTGCTGTTGAGAGACCCCAGGCGCATTGATGCGAAGTAGTAAATGAGTGCTCTTGCCCCTTCGGTGAAAAGTCATCCAGTTTAGTGGGTCACAGAGGTCACACCAGTGGTCCTCAGGTTTGTAAGAAGGCATAAACACACGCCAGTATTAAAACACTC